ACCTTCCTTCTCTCTGTCTGTGCTCCTTGGATTTTCCTGGCACTGTGCCTCTTAGTACTAGTCTGGGGCTTGGGCAATGGTTTATATCATAAATTAGTTCTCTTTAGTGTAACCTTTGCTACAGTTCTTTGAGTCTGTTTTACACAACCATAAATTAGTATTTGTGTTGGTTTATACACAAAATTGGGGCATCTCTTTTCCAGCTCTCTCCTCTCCATGATTTCCCCCATACTCATCAGTTTCCATTGGCCTTTTCCTATTTCCTCCGACCAGGGAAACAGGTTTCTCTCAGAATTTTAGACTTTGCCATTTTACAGTTCATCATAACTAGGACTGCCCTTAGGTGACGTGGGGAAAGGAGAGGAGGAAAAAAAATCCAAATAATTTCCCCTCGTACTTTCTAGATGACATGGACCCTGTTTCCCAGTTTTTCTGTCCAGAGAGGTTTTCTCACATAATTTTTCTGTTGCTGGGGCAGTGCAGCTCTAAAAGGGGTGGAAGAGACAATCTCCAGATCACAGCGTCCCTTTTTCCCAGTCCTTTGGGTTTTCTTTTAAGCACCCTCAAGATATTCTTTTACCCAGGCCACTCTTAGGTCAAAACTGGAAGAGAAAGGAGGAAAATGGAATCAGAAAACTCATGGTCATACTCATTATTCTTCATGTTTTGACTTCTTTCCCCAATCATTTATATTACTTATTTGTGGAATATTGATATATTTTTTTTGGCCATTTATATGTTGGTGGATCATATACTTTTTAAGTGATTTGAATTATACCTGTATATTTAAGGAATATTAACCCTTAATTGTGTTTGCTGAGGATGTTCAGGGTTTTTAAAAAGATTTTATTTGTTCATTTTTAGAGGTGGAGGGAGGGAGAAAGAGAGGGAGAAAAACATCGATTGGTTGCCTCTCCCATGCACCCTGGCCCACAGCCCAGGAATGTGCCTTGACCAGGAGTTGAACCGATGACCCTTCGGTTTGCAGGATGATGCTCAACCCACTGAGCCATGTCAGTCACGGCTAAATGTTCAGTTTTATTGTTTGACTACAATTTTTGACATAAATTTTTAAATGCATTAGTCTTTGTGTGAGTTAAAAAATGCTAATAACCTTTTGGATGTTCCCCCTAGTTAGAATATGTATTTTTCTAATTTAAAAAATATTTTATTTTGCCCTGGCTGGTATGGCTCAGAAGATTGAGCACTGGCCTGCGAACCATAGTATCACTGGTTCGATTCCCAGTCAGGGCACATGCCTGCGTTGTGGGCCAGATCCCCAGTAGGGGGTGTGTGAGAGGCAACCACACATTGATGTTTCTCTCCCTCTCTTTCTCCTTCCCTTCCCCTTTCTCTCAAAATAAATAAATAAAATCTTTAAAAATATATATTTTTTATCTTTCTCAAATTTAAAATAAAATTTCTTAAAATTATAAAAGTTACTATAAAAACTCAGGTGATAGGTGTCTAGGCTAACAAGTAATGCTCTTCACAGCCTCACTTGATCAGAAGAAAATGTTAACATTTTAATACATATATAGGGCATAGATTTTAAGCCATTGTAATTTTTTAAAGTTGTTTAATTGAGGTATAATTTACATACAGTATTTTAAGTGTACAGTTGTTTTGACAAGTGTATACACTTGTGTAATTCACTTCCCTGTCAGGTTATAGAATTCTGCCACCCCTAAAACTTTCTGTGAACCTCTTTGTAGTCAATTTCCCTATTCTTCCCCTTCCTGGCACGAGGCCACCATAATCTATCACTTTAGATTAGTTTTGCCTGTTTGAGAATTTATTCATGGAGTCATACAGTATGTGCTCTTTTGTTTCTGGCTTCTTTTGCTGAGTGTAATACTTGGATATTCATCTATGTTGCTGCATGAATCAGTAGTTTATTCCTTTTTATTGGTAGGAATAATATTCATTGTGTGACTATGCCACAACTTTATTACACATTTACTTGTTGGTAGACATTTGTATTATTTGCAGTTTGGGGCTATTATGAATAAAGCTGCTGTATACAGTTCTTTTTCTGTGCCTGTGCTTTCATTTCTTATGAGTAAGTGATAGTTATTTAAGGAATTGTTCCATCATACAGTAAATGTTTATTTAACCTAATAAGCTTCTGTTAAACTGTTTTCCAAAAGGGTTGTACCATTTTACACTCCAATCAGAAATGTAATGAGTTCCAGTTCCTCACATGCATTTATCAAATTATTAAAAAAAAAAAAACCTACCAAAACTTTATACAGGGTGGGGAAAAACTAAGTTTACAGTTGTTTTTATGAAAAATAAATGTAATAATACTGTTTTGTCTACTCACAAGATACATATACACAGATTTGTTTCTGAACTCTTTTAGATTATTGATTTATTTGTCCTATTTTTAATATTCTGGTAATGATAATGTTGTGTTTTGGTATTTGGTAGAGCAGATGTTTCAATTAATTCATTATTTCTTGTTTCTTTGATGTTTTGGATGGTGCTATCCTTATAAATTTTCTGTTTTTTCTATCAACTTTAATATTTTGCCGTCATAATCTTATGTATACTATTTGCTCCATAAATATTTGCAGATGTTAGATTATTGTTAGGGGTGATACAGAGAGAATAATTAAGTATTCCTTTTTTAGTTCAGCAAATATATATGTAATATTAACTGTAGGAGCCTAGTGTGTAGGGTGGAGAGAGGGAATACAAAAATGAATGGGACACATTGTGTCTGTCTGTCTAGGTGAGAAAGTTAAAATAATTATACTAAATACTGTAAATACTGCAGGATTTTTTGGAGCATGGAAGGAGAATGATCAGCTCTTCTTATGAGAGTTAACATTTTACAAGCAGTATTACTTTTTATCTAAGTCTTGAAAAATTTTTAGTGAGAATTTGTTAAGCAGGTAAGAAAGAAAATGCAAATCATGGAACTTGTTAGAAAATTTTAATGCAAAATCATGCATTTAAAATTCTTCAAGGTCTTATGTAACACTGAAGTTTTTTTACAGGTAGATTAATTATACTCTATATGGAATTTATTTCAATCTCTACATTTCAGGAGTGAGAAGTTAAGTGATTTTCTGATGGTTGTGTGTTCTTTCCCCTCCCCCCAAGATTTTATTTATTTACTTTTAAAGAGAGGGAAGAGAGGGAGAGAAACACTGATGTGTGAGACACATCATTGGTTGGTTGTCTCTCTCACAGGTCCCCAACCAGGGACCTGGAATCAAAGTGGCAACCTTTTGGTTCGCAGGCTGGTGCTCAGTCCACTAAGGCATACCTGCCAGGGCAGGGTGGTCATATATTTTTGAAAGAGCTGTAATTGAAGCTGTTTGTTCCAGGGAAGTTCTAGAGCAGGGAAATTGGTAAAAGTATACGAGGCAACCTTTAAAATATGTTACCAGTGGAATACAAATAACAGTGAACAAATACTGTTTTTATTGCAGTGTGGTATTAATTTAGGGAGGTACAAAATACATGTGAATACATTTTATTTACCAAGAAATTTTCTACTAAGAATTAAAATTGTTTCAGTGACCACTAAAAATCAGACAGTTATTTGCTTAAAGGTTACATAGGGACATGTGGAGAATTAGCTAGAAATTTTATTTTCCCTTAGAAGTCTAGTGAAATCAAATTGGAGCTTCCCCCTCCCCCCTTAATTGGTGAATTTAAGCAAGTTAAAATAGCTAACATTCGCCCTGGCTGGTGTGGCTCTGGATTGAGTGCCAGCCTTTGAACCAAAGGATCCCTGGTTCAATTCCCAGTCAGGGTACATGCCTGGTTTGCAGGCCAGGACCCCAGTAGGGGGCACATGAGAGGCAACCACACACTGACCTTTTTCTCCCTCTCTTTCTCCCTTCCCATCTCTCTAAAAATAAATAAATAAATCTTTAAAAAAATAAAATAGCTAACATTTAATGTAGTGCTTACTGAATCAGAGTGTTAGTGTGTGCTTACATTTAATAATTTAACCCTCACAACTACTCTGTGAAGAAGGTTATTATTTTCATTTTACAGATTAGGAAAATTAGGCTGTGTAAGTCACAGCTTATAAATAGTGTTGCCGGGATTTATATATGGCAATGTCATTCCAGCACCTGGCCTTTCCATTATGAGAATCATTAAAATTGGGGAAAATAGCCTTGACCCATGTGTCTCAGTTGGTTGGGATGCTGTCCTGCAAAGGTCACCTCTTTGATTCCTTGTCAGGGCCACATACCTGGGTTCCAGGTTTGGTCCCTGTTGGGTGTGTTTGAGAGGCAACTGCATTTTGATGTTTCTGTCTCACATCAGTGTTTCTCTCCTTCTCCTTCCCTTCCCCTCTCTAAAAATAAATAAAATTGGGTAAAATGATACAAAGGAACTGGTAGCAGAACTACCAGGGAATATACTGGTTATCTGTAATGCCTACTTATCTAATGATGCAGATTAGGTAGAAGCTATATTTTGTGTGAATCAGGTTTATGGGGGAAATAAGTGTCTTTGTTAAATTTGAACCTTTCTCTCATTTTTCTTTGGAATGTCTGTATTAGAGTTGACTAAAACACTGGCATATAGTATCTGAAAGGAAAAGAAAGACAGCTTATTGAATTGAATCTTTTGTGTGTTTTCTCATATTTGAAGCTCATTAATAGATGGGACTTTTTGATTTTAGGAACATACTATAGGTACACCCTGAGTTGTGCTTATTTTTATTTGTCTTTGTGTTATATTATCTATTGCTGATGGATTAAATATTTAAGCACTTATACAGAAAATCTTCCAAGAAAAAATTTAATTTTAGAGGTATAAGTATAGTACATACTTACATGCTATGTATAATAGAAATCTTTTTTTCTAGGGCGATTCTGATAACTAGGTTTAGGAACTACTGTACTAAATAAACCATACTTCCTTCTCAGTAAATTTCTAGACCTGAGATATGTCAGAAAATGACCTTACACTAAAAATTAGCAGCTTTTGCTTTTCTTGACTTTTTTTCTTTTCTTATTTCTCTACAGTAGTTTATGCCAACGTGGCTTCATTCATACAGATGAACCAAGGATTGGGATAGCAAGTATAAAATTAGAAACAAACAGCTGATTGCCCAGCAGGATGCCATCAACTAACCGAGCAGGCAGCCTGAAGGACCCTGAAATTGCAGAGCTCTTCTTCAAAGAAGATCCAGAGAAGCTCTTTACAGATCTCAGAGAAATTGGCCATGGAAGCTTTGGAGCAGTGTATTTTGTAAGTGTTAAAGGTTTAATGTCAGTGACCAGCATTTACTTAAGATCCAACCCTGGCAGAGGAAAAACCAATAATATAGAGAGATATAGGCCATAGTCCATTTTATAGTAACTTGCATAGGTGTGTGTATAACATGGAAGTAGATAGTTTTATTTATTGGGCTTCATAGGTTACTGAAAAATGGAAAAGAATATTATTTTGCTTTAACTTACATGTTTAGAATTTTTAGCACACTGTTTTTAGGAGTCTTATCACTTGTCTTGCTGTAGAATTAAACATTGCAGGACACTGACTTCTGTAGAGTCCCATACAGAGTCAATTTTAGTGTTGTGAAAATCTAGGATTATTATTTGGCAGAAGCATATGAACCACAGTCTTTTCTCTTATGTGTATATGTGTGTACTTTATGCTAAAAAAAAAAAATCAAATTTGTCATTTTAACCAGTTTTAAATGTATAGTTTGTGGCATCCATTATACTCACAAGTTGTACAACCATTACCACTATCTATTTTTCAAACTTTTTTCATCACCCCAAATAGAAACTGTATCCATTAGTAATAACTCCGGATTTCCCCCTCCACTCTCCCTGGTAACCTCTGATCTATTTTTTGTCTCTGTAATTTGCCTTTTACATTTTATATAAATGGAATTACATAATACTTATACTTTCATGTATAGCTTATATCACTTAAAATGTTTAGCATCACTTCACAGGTCATCCATGTTCATTCCTTTCTTTATAGGTGAATGATATTCCATTGTATGTATATACCATGGTTTGTTTATTCATTGTTCATAGACACTAGATTGTGTCCATCTTTTGGCTATTGTGAATAAATGCTACAGTGAACAGTGGCATACAAGTATCTGTTTCAGTCCATTTTCAATTTGGCTTTGTACCTAAAAATGAAAATACCAGATCACATGGTAATGCTAAGTTTAACTTTTTGAGGAGATGCCAAACTGCAACATAGTGTCTGCACTGTTTCCATTACTACCAGCAATGTACCAGAGTTCCATTACTCTATATCCTCACAAATGTGTTACTTTCTGTTACTTTGATTGTAGCCATTCTAAGAGGTGTGAAGTGGTATCTCATGGTTTTGATTTGCATTTCTCTAATGACTAATACGTTGAGCATCTTTTCATGTGCTTATTGGCCATTTATATCTTCTTTGGAGAAAGGTCCATTTAAGTTCTTTCCAGTTTAAAGTTTGGGTTGTTTCTTTGTTGTTGAGACATGAGGGTTCTTTATGTATTCTTAATATTAAATTTTTATCAGATACATGATTTGCAGATATTTTCTCCCATTCTGTAGGTTTTTTTCCCACCTTCTTGATAATTTCCTTTGATATGCAAAAGTTGTAAATTTGGATGAGGTCCAGTTTATCTTTTTTATTTTGTTGCTTGTGCTTTTGGTGACATGTCTAAGAATCTGTTGCCAAACGTGAAGATTTACCCCTGTGTTTCTTTGTAAGAGTTTATGTTCTTATCTTTTATATTTAGGTCATCATCAATGCATTTTGAGTTAATTTTTGTATGTGTTGTGAGGTCCAAGTTCATTCTTTGCATGTGAAAATCCAGTTATCCTGGTACCATCTGATGAAGAGATTATTTTTTCCTATTGAATTTGCTTGACTTCCTTGTCAAATCAATTTGCCATATTGTATAGGTTTATTTCTGAACCCCCAATTCGATTTCATTTGTGTATGTATTCATCTTTATGTTAGTATATCACTGTTTTGATTAACATGTCTTTGTAGTAAGATGATGATTAACGTTGCTATCCTTTTTAAAGATAGTATTGGCTGTTTTAGGTACCTTGCAATTCTATATGAATTTCAGGATTGGCTTTTCCATTTTTTTATAAAAGTCTGTTGGAATTTTGATAGGGATTGCTTAAATCTGTAGATCATGTTTGACAGTATTGGCATCTAAACAATATTAAATCTTTCAATCCATGGACACAGAAAGTCTTTCTAAACAGTTGTTTAAGTCTTCTTTAATTTTGTTCAGCAATGTTTCAATGTACAGGCATTATACTTTATTGTATAAGTGTATTCATTGGTCTATTATTCTTTTAGATACTGTTGTAATTGGAAGTACTTTCTTAATTGCCTTTTTAGATGGCTTATTGCTGGTGTATAGAAATACAGCTGATTTATGTGTGTTGGTATTTTTATTATTTATTTTTCAGTTACAGTTGACATGCAATATTATATTAGTTTCAGGTATACAACATAGTAATTAGACATTTTATATATTTTACAGAGTGGTCACCCCGTAAGTCTAGTACCCATCTGATACCATAGTTATTAAATATTAGCTATATTAATTAAATTAATATAAGTAATTAAATATTATTAATTATCTTGTACTTTACATCCTGTGACTATTTTTACAACTGGCAATTTGTACATTTTAATCCCTTTAGCTTTTTCTACCTATTCCCCCCCCCCACCCCACCCCCCAACCTGGCAACTGTGAGTTTGTTCTCCATATCTTTGAGTTTGTTTCTGTTTTGTTTATTTTGTTTTTAAAATTCTACATGTAAGAGAAATCATATGGTACTGTCTTTCTCTGTCTGATTTATTTCACCTAGCATAATAGCTTGTAGGTCCATCCATGTTGTTGCAAATGGCAAGATCTCTTTTCTTTCTTTCCCTCCCTCCCTCCCTCCCTCCCTCCCTCCCTCCCTCCCTTCCTTCCTTTGTTTTTTAAGATTTTATTTATTCTTAACAAACTATAGAAATGATCCCTGAAAGTATAGTCTTAAGATTTTATTTATTTTTAGAGAGAGGGGAAGGGAAGGAAACATCAATGTGTGGTTGCCTCTCGGGCGCCCTCCTACTGGGCACCTGGCTTGCGTGTGACCTGACTGGGAAATGAACCTTCAGTCCTTTGCTTCATAGGCCGGCGCTCAATCCACTGAGCCACACCAGCCAGGGCTAGATTTTTTTTTTTTTATCGTTAAGTAATATTCCAGTGTGTATACATACCACATCTTTATCCATTTGTCTTGCCTAAGATGGACATTTAGGTTGCTTCCAATATCTTGGCTATTGTACATAATGCTTCAGTGAACATAAGGGTGCATATATCTTTTCAAATCAATGTTTTTGTTTTCTTTGGATAAATACCCAGAAGTAGAATTGCTGGGGTATATGGTAGTCTTATTTTTAATTTCTTGAGGAAACTTGATGCTGTTTTTCATAGTGGCTGTTCCAATTTACAGTCCTACCAAGAGTGCACAAGAGTTCCCTTTTCTCCACATCCCTGCCAACACTTGTTATTTGTGGATTTATTGATGGTAGCCTTTCTGACAGGTGTGAGGTGATATTTCCTTGTGGTTTTAATTTGCATTTCCCTGATAATTAGGGATATGAGCATATTTTCACATGTTTATTAGCCATCTGTGTGTCATCTTTGGAGAAATGACTGTTTAGGCCCTCTGCCCATTTTTTTATCGGATTCTTTGTTTGTTTGTTTGTTTGTTTTTGGTGTTAAGTTGTATGGATTTCTTATGCATTTGGGATATTAACCCTTATGATATGTATCATTGGCAAATATCTTCTCTTTAGTGGTTTTGTTGATGGTCTCCTTCACTGTACAAACACTTTTTAGTTTGATGTAGTCTCATTTGTTTCTTTTTTCTTTTGCTTCCCTTGCCTGCACAGACATCTACAAACAAATATTGCCAAGGGCACTGTCAAAGAGTTTACTGCCTCTGTTTCCTTCCAGGGGTTTTATAGTTTCAGGTCTTATGTGTAAGTCTTGAATTCATTCAAGTTTATCTTTTTTATGGTAAAAGAAAGTGGTTTAGTTTCTCTCTCTCTCTCTTTTTTTTTTTTTTTGCATGTACCTGTCCAGTTTCCGAATAACATCTATTGAAAAAGTATCTTAAGCTTTTGTATATTTTTGTACTGATATGTATTTTTGCCTCCTTTGTCATAAATGTATTGATTGTATAAGTGGGAGATTATTTCTGCTCTTTCTTTTATGTTTCATTGATCTGTATGTCTGTTTTTATGCTAGTACCATGCTGGTCTGATTACTATAACCTTGTAGTATAGTTTGATACCAGGTACTGTGATGCCTCCAACTTTGTTCTTAAGATTGCTTTGTTTTGACTGTTTGGAGTCTTTTGTGTTCCATAGAAATTTTAGGATCATTTGTTCTAGTTCTGTGAAAAATGCCATTGATATTTAGATTGCACTGAATCTTTAGATTGCTTTAGATAGTGTGGACATTTTAATGATGTTAATTCTTCTTATCCATGAGCACAATCTATCTGCCCATTTATTTATATCTTAGGCAAGTTCTTCAGTGTCTTAGAGAGTTTTCTGAGTGGTTAAATTTATCTCCTTGGTTAAATCTATTCCTAGGTTTTTATTTTTAATGCAGTTGTAAATTTGGTTGTTTTCTTAATTTCTCTTTCTAATAGTTCTTTATTGATGTATTAGAATGCAAGTGCTTTCTGAATATTAATTTTGTATCTTGCTACTTTAGTAAATTCATTTATTAGTTCTAATAGTTTTATGGTGAAATCTTTAGGATTCTCTATATTTAATTTAGTATCATGTCGCCTGCAAATAATGAGTTTTACTTCTTCCTTTCCAATTGAGATTCCTCTTATTTTTTTTCCTTGTCTAATTGCTGTGGCTAGGCCTTATAAAACTGTACTAAAAATGGTGAGATTGCACATCCTTGTCTTGTTTATGATCTTAAAGAAAAAGCTTCCAGCTTTTCAGCTTTTCATTGAGTATGATATTAACTGTGGGTTTGTTGTGTATGACTTTTATTATGTTGAAGTATGTCCCCTCCATCCCCAGTTTGCTGACAGTTTTGGTCATAAGTGGATGTTGGATTTTGTCAAATGTTTTTTCTGCAGCTAGATGTAATCATAAGATTTTTATTCTTCGTTTTGTTGATATTGTGTAGCACATTAATTGATTTGTGGATTTTGAGCCAACCTTGTATCCTTGGGCTAAATCCCACT